CTTTGACCGCCTACGGCTAGACGCCATGCGCGGGGCCGCGATCGCCACATGGCGCGCGCGCATGGGCGTGTTTCAAGGCCCGATGTCCTGAAGGCTAGACGATCAGCGCTGCTTCAAGCGCATGGATCTGCATTCAACCTCGCCAGAAGAATTTGGCACCTGCATCGAGTCTGCCCAGATCTGTCGAACGCCCGAATCGTGCCCAGGCTCGCCAGCGTACTGCTGCACAACATGGGACCTGCCAGTAATGCGACATGCGTGGGCCCTGTGCCCCCTCGCTGCAGCATCAGTGGCGCCCCCTTCCGATCGCACTGGTTTCATGCGAGATCTGCCAAGAAAATCTCTTGTTCCCGGGATCGGGTAGTTCATCCGTGGTGCAAGGTCGCGCGCTCCTCACCCATAAGGGCGGTTGTACCATTTTCGAGATAAGATGAAAACCGACGTTCGTAGGAGTCGCTCCCAACGGGGAGTCACTTCTCTACTTGAACGGCCTTGGAACTGCAACCATGAAAGCTGCGAACTTGCGTCGCCGGTGCCCCCGCGCACTGCCATGGAGTAGCCCCATGTACACTCAACTATACTCATGGTCAGTCCTAAGCATTCGATGGCACTGCATGGTGACTCTTTCGGCAATTCGGACTGGGGTTTGCGTTCAGAGGTTCGTTTTCTCTGTCGCGTGTTGGATGCAGCCCTCCCATGCCGAATCTTCGCCTGTTCGGGTCGCATTCCATGTTTGTTCGTATCATATGGCCTCCCAATTGCTGCTAAACGTCTGACTGATCGGTCTTGTCCCTGCCTCTGTCACTGGTTTCTCTGCCTACCTTGTCTTCCCCTTTTGCCACTCCTGTTACTGGCAGCATCGCCGCAACATTCGAGGGGATCAATGCGCGCAGGTGCTGGTGGTTAGGTGGTTACCCACTGCCCGCACAGTTTAAAAAGTAGTCGTTTATTGTCAAACAATGTCCACCAAGGCCTGCCACCATCAACAAACGCTGGGCATTCGAATGCTGGCTGGCCTGCTGACGTTGTGTCAAGCCGCGCGCAAGCACAATATCGCCGGCACACCGGCACACTTCGCCAACAACTTCGCATCAACAGCTCATTGGAGATCTCAAACGACAGCGTGATTCTTCACCGTTCACGCAATCGTTGGTGTCAGCATGCCTGCGCCAAGACTTGGGCCACGATCCGAGCTGGCAGGAGCAGGCAGCGAATCACCCACAGGAGCGCTGCAGTCAACCCGTATGGTAAGGATGCGCGGTAAGGATGCAAGCGCCTTGGACAACCATGTTGGGTGTTGTTTTTCACATGGGGTTGGCCAGCGACAGATACCAACGATTGGCCAAAGGGCAAGGATGCAAGGGTAACCTTGAAAATACGTTTATCCTTACTATACGGGATGTCTGTAGATCAGAATGTCATCGATAATGAAGAACGCGCGGCCGCACGCTCAAACACGCGAAACGTATGGATGAGCACGCCGATGAACACCACGCAGTCGCACCTTCAAAATTGCACGACGCATAGATGCGCCAAGAAAAACGAAGCACCGAACTAGATCAGGAGAGGACACGCTACGTCAGACGATCAACGCCCATGAGAACATTAGTTCGAAATCGCGAAACGCCTGGATGCGCAATTCGATGAACAGCACGAGGCCGAATCTTAAACACAAGCGGAACGTATGGATGCGAACATCTGAAATCCTGCCAATCAGCAGTAGCGCGCGCTACAACACACACGAGCACTAAGTATACCGCGCCCGAATCATTGACATATGTATAGCAACTGAAAGAAACACGAAACACATATGGCGTTACTGCGAGGAGTTGGGCATACAACCGCTGGACACGTTCAGCATCCCCAAGCAAGAGCACTGCCCCAAATCCTTCGGGAAAGGTCCCGAAATAGGAGGGCCAAAAACATGTGGGTCAAAGGGGATATGTTGTTGCAGATGTGTCAAACAACGCCGCCCACGTCGTGCAGGATGGCGGCGCCTGAGCTGGCCGCGCGCGGTCGGGGCGCGGCGCGGGCCAGCGGGCTGGGCTCCCGCGGGCCATCGGGGAGGGGGAGGGGGAGGGAGAGGAGGAGGGGGAGGGGGGCGGGGAGGGAGAGGAGGAGGAGGAGGAAGGCCTCGACGAGAAGGAGGGTGAACTTACCAGGGTTAGGGGCTGTATCATGCTGAGCGGTGTGTGGGTCCATCCTGGGCTCAGGGTCGGTGCAGATCTGCCTCCCCGGCCAGAAGCCAGGAAGGCGCGCGCACCAATCGAGGGGGCCGGGGGCTGGCCTGGCCAGGAGCGGGGAGGTGGTCCGTCAACCACACACACACACACGAGACTTCTTTTGTTGCCGCACCGCAGCGCGCACACTCCGTCAACATCGAGGTCCCCGTCAGCGGGTCAGGCATGCATGCAGGGAGGGGGAACGCACCAAAGAGCAACAAGGAGAAGCAGCTGACCCGAACAGTTCGCGGGCCGAAGACAGCTCCCACAGGCGGGAGCGGCGGCGAGGAGCGCGAGGGTCCCCCCCGGGCGGGCGCACCCCCGGCGGCGGCCCTCCCAGGCGGGGAAAGGGGGGCCGGGAGGCGCAGCGCCGAGCGCCTGCCTCTCCCCAGAGCCAGCCCCCGCGCTCACCCGGCTGCGCTCGGCCCGCTCCTCGCGAGGGGCGAGCAGCTCCCGCCTCTGCGCCCGCGCCACCTGGCTTCCGGGGCGCCATCCCCCGCGGACGCGCGGCCGCACGGGCACGCACCTCGCGCCCCCCCCCCGTATCCCAGGGGGTGGGGGGGGGCGCGGCCCTAGGGACGGGCCGGCGAGGCCGCGGGCCGGACCCTGGCGGAGAAAGTTCAAGGCCCCCTACAGGCGGCTTCTGGGAGGAGAAAATTCAAAAACTGCCAAACAATGACAAGTTGCCAAACAAAAATACATTGAAATATCAAAACAATCCTGAAACAAATCATCTCCAAGCTATGCTGTAACGATTGTCGACTCTTCCTCCTGTAGGGGTACACGCCCGACCTTGAGGCTACGGATACGGCTGTGCTTCTCGCCAGCGCGCGGGCTGCGTGCACCCCGCTCTCCCCCGCGCTTCCTCCCTCCCCCCCCCGCTGCCTCTCTCTGCCGCTGGGCCTCTCCTACGAGGCCCCCTGGATGGGGTCCGAGCAGACATTGTCGAAGGATCGCCAACACATCGCCGATGTAACGGCGAGACATCGGCGATGCATCGGCAACGTCGGCGTGGAGGAAATCGAATCCCTCATCGAGCCACATCGCCGATGCATCGGCCATGCGGCGCGATCCTCCGACCCCATCTACTCCGACCCCATCTAGGAGGCCTAGATCTTCGCTGGGCAAAAAAATGCTTTTCGCCCGCGTGCCTCTCCGACAAAAAAAAAGTCGGCGGCCCGCCGAGCGGCCGCCTCGGCGATCGAACGGCCAACTCGGGCATCCTCGGGGGGAAGCCAAAAGGTACCAACACCGCTGCTCCCCAGAGACCTCTGCCGGGGCGCGTTCTGACCAGGACTTCGAGGCGGATCCAGCGGTGGCGACGAGAGCCGCCCAGGAGGCCTGGAGAGGGGAAAGCGAGGGAAGGGAAGAGGTGTGGGCATCTCTCCCAGACGTGCGACGTCCCGACTTCTTCAGGACGGCGTCCCTGGAAATCCCGACCCTTTCCCTGGGACCGGTCTTTTATCCTGACTCGTTTTCTGACGGCCCCGAGGCCCGGCGAGGGCCCCCCGGGGCCGAAAATGGCCAAGAACCTCCTGCCCTGCTTTTGTCGCGACGCGATCCTGTCTGGGTTCCCTCCTCGGACGAGCGGCCAACCCGGGATCGGGATTGGGAGCGGCCAAGAGGGGGGTGTCCAAGAGGGGGGGGTGCAAATCATGACCGGCGGCACGTGCGCGGCCCAGCGGGGGGACCAGGAACGGAATTAAATAAGAGGAGGCGCCATCAAATCTGGGGAAATATCGTGGCCCCCGCCATGAGATCCCCCCCCCTAGTTGCGGGCAACAATTATATCCACATCCAATGCGTCTTGGAAATTTGGGCTCTCTTCCCCAGAAGCCGGAGGCGCACTGGATATGGATAAACATCTGGCCCCCAAAGGCTCGATTCTTATCCATGTCCAGTGCACCTCGGCCATGCGGCACCACTTCCCCAAAAGTCCAAGACGCTCTGGATGTGGATATAAGTACTGCTGCCCCCCCTGGTCATCACCCCCCTCTTTGCCGCCCCCGACGGGGAGCCGCGCAGGGTCTCGGCGAGAGGTCCGGGGAGCGGGGTCGGGCGGCCGAGCCCCTCCCCCCCCCCGCCGCCTGCCCCCCGGCCCACGAGGCTCTCGCCGCGGAGGCGGGGTGGAGCGCCGAGCGTCGCGGGGGCCCGCCCGCAAGGGGAGCAGAGGGCCCCAGCTTCGGCGGCGAGCCAGAGGGGGGGGGGAGGCAAGTGCTCCTAACTTCGCGCTTCGCGCTGCGCGAAGTTAGGAGCCCCTGCTCTCGCGCCGCCCCCAGAGGGGAGAAGAGGAAGGAGGACGAGGAGGCCCGCGAAGCGCGACTAAATTCGCGCCCTCGTGGGAGCCCTTGCGGAGGTGAGAAGGGGCGGGCCCTTCCCAGAAAGGCTCTGAAGGACCCTGGCCTTCCGAGGAATGTGCTCAGCCTTCCCGGAGACACGGACAACCTCTCGGAAGGCGCGAGGGCTTGTGAGAAGTCCGGCCGCCTGTTGAGAAAGCCTTCTCCTTCTCACAACCCCACCTCGCTCGACGCCGACAGATGGTGTCGGAGCAGATGGGGTCAGAGGATCGCGCCGCATCGCCGAAATATCGCAGTTGCATCGTCGATGCACGGGCGACGTCCGCGATGCATTGCATCGGCGACGTCGGCGTGGAGAACGTCGGGCTCCACTTCGAGCCGCACCGCCGATGCATCGACGATGCGCCGCGATCCTCGGGCCCCATCTGCTAGGACCCCATTCGAAAGGCCTAGAGTGGGACCGCCAGGAGGGGGAGGGTGCCTCCATCTGCAGCTGAGTCGAGATCGTCAGCTCGAAAAAATGGTTCAGCCAACCGATGATGATGTCCTGCTGGCGGCGCGCGGAAACCTTGAGATCCTGGCGTCGCAATTTGGCCTCACCGCGCGATTGGGCCAGGTTGCAGGCCTGAAGACCACCACAAATCGATCCGGCGGACAAAACTGCTCACGGTCTTCGTGACAATTCTTTCCGTACACATTCCTTCAGATCTGGCGTTCAAAAACAAATGCCACATCGCAAACACTACCAAACCTTGGCCCCTATATGTCTGCCCCATGTTTGAAGCCAGATCGACTGGTGAATGTCACGGGGCGCCGAACTGGCCGCAAATGCCCGGCTCGAAAAAATCGCAACACCAGGATGGTTTCGGTCGTGCTGTCGGTCTTCGTGCCCATTCCGATCGTACCCAGTGAAGGAGAAGGAGGAGTACGAGGAGGATGCGAAAGAAAAGGAGGAGGCAGAGGAGGAAGAAAAGGAGGAGGAGGCGGAGGAGGAGAGCGAGGATGGAAGAGAGGGAGGAGGAGGGGGAGGAGGAGGAGGAGGAGGAGGAGGAGCAGGATTAATATAAACCCAGATTCATCAACGATGTTGGAATAAACCCTCCCTCCAAGCTCCCTCTTCATAGGCCCCTACAAAAATTCACTTCCACTAGGGAAAATGCCCGGTGGGGAGACTCGAAAATCTTGAAGCGCGCCAGAGCACCATTTCCGGGACTCGAGCGCCACGAATCCATGTGATGGTTGCGTCTTGACGATCCTGAATCGTGCCAAAACATCCTTCCTGGGCCTTCAACACGGCGAATCAAGTCCTGGTGCATTCGCCATGCGAATCCGTGACATTCTTGAATGTCAAAACGAATGTGCGTGGCGCTAATGCGAGAACGAACCGCCGTCAATACGTGAAACTCAGGCAACTATTGAAGACGAGTGTGCGCGGCGCTCAAACGAGAACAACATGTTGGAAACCGCCTGCCCTCAATCTGTGAAGCTCCTGCACGTGTTGACGGCGAGTGTGCGCGGCGCTAAAGCGAGAGCAACATTTTGGAAGCGGCCCGCGACCGATTTACCCCCCACAGATAGGGGATTTAGGCTGCTCTCTTCGCGTGTCGAGGGGCATGTCACCAACTGAGGTGGTGAGACGGTGGGGCTCGAGATGTGGAGGGGGATGGGGATGGGGATCGGCTAAACGATACTGAACTGTCGCCAATGGCAAAAGGTTCGGGATCATAGACGGTGAGGGGAGCTCTGGCGAAGCGCCCAGCCCGCCTCTTCGACCAGCCTCGGGGTGCGACAGGGAGGAGCTGTGGAGTTATGAGGAAAAGGAATAGGAATGAGGAGGAGGAAGAGGAGGAAAAGAGGGAGGAGCTGCCGCTCTTTCTCTACCCCTTTCGATCGTAGCGCCGACCTGTGCTCAAAAACTGCCTGGCGCTTCAGAGTCGCCCCTCGCGCGCTCGGTGTCCAAACGGGGCCGCGCGCTGCGCGCGCCTGGTGCAACCGCTGGCGCGCCCCGCAGGGCCGTTCGCGCGCGCGCCCATATCTGGCCCGCGTTTGCACTGACCCCCATCGCAAAACTTCCGATGGGGGGCCCGATATAGGGCCCGGGGGCCACCGAGAATGGAGCCGGGGCGAAAGACTGGCCCAGGGGAAGTGTGCCCCATGGTTGGTGCCCGTGATGCCTCATCGTTGGTTGGCGCCCACTGCGGCTTGCACCGCTTGGCTTGTGAGCGCCTACACTGTTGTGCCCCGTCGCTGGCAACATTCGTGCGTTGTGAGCTTCGTTCTGAGAGGGCAGGGGGACCAGCCATCTGAGATGGCGGGGTGCTTCTCGAAGGCGTCGGTCCCACAAGAACACTTGCCATCACACCTTCTGACATGAGGGACGGGGGGCATCATCAGAAAATTGCCCTTCTGACCTTGCCCACTTTGACACACCGTCAAACCCTCGTCTCATTCCTATTCCTCATCCTAATGATCGTTTCAGGAATCCTCCGATTGACGATCAACTTCCCTCATGTCTGAAGAGTATCCCTATCCCAAAAGCGTGCCCCGTTGTACAACCAACTTCAGCATGTTACCATACGGCGTTAACGATATTCCACATGACCATCACACAACCACCATCATCGTGGTCGCCAACATCAATAGACTCGTATAAAGAACGCCACTCGCTCATTGAACTCTACTTATCCTGAACCCCTGCCATTCAATCAGGAAATATATTCTTATCCACACGTGCGCCGTTGGAAGTTGCACCCTCCGCTAAACGAATCCCCCATTGAGTGCACCAGACAGAATGGAGGTGAATACCCGCTTGTACACTACTTGAGGACACGTTCGTTGCAGCGGTGAAGTAGCCCACGCAAAACCAAGGAGAGCGTTGACAAGCACTGTCAGGTTCCCTAGGGGAAAGCACACACCAACGAGACTCCTTCATCTCACCGACCGCGGCAGTCTTTACATCGACCTCGGTGATCTCCGAGACACGCCTGAGGCTCTTGTTCGCTTCCTTGATGAGCTGGAGTTCCTGGCAATAGCGACAGGTACGCAGAGCGGGCACGAGGCATCATGCGCATATCAGAAAGACACCATGCACTAGCGTCAACAGCAGGCAAGCTATGATCGATCATCCTCGATTGCCGCTCACGTGATAAATCCTCCTCCTGGATCCACCTCTTGAGCGCGTATTCGCGGCAATAACGGGCGTTCTGGGGGGGGTGCGAGGGGGGGGCATAACGTAACGCTCCCCCTCGCTGTGCGGTTCCGGCGTCACCACAGCGTCCGCGCGCACGACGACGACGAGCGACGACGAGCGACGACGACGACCGTCGACAACGACGACGATGACGAGCGACCACGACGACGACGACGACGACAAGCGACCACGACGACGACGAGCGACCACAACGACGACGACGACGACGAGCGACGACAAGTGACGACGACGACGTCGACGGCGACGACGACGACAACGAGTGATCACGACGGCGACGACGACGACAAAGACAACAACGACGACGACGACGACGACGACGGCAACGACGACGACGGCGGCGACGACGACGACGAGCGCTGCGTCAGGAAGTCCCCGGATGTTTCCCGAAGCCTCCGGAGGCCTCCGGGAGGCTTCTGGAAGCTTCCAGAGGCCTTCTGGAGGTCATCCGAAGGCCTCCAGAGGCCCTCGACAGCATTCGAAGGCGCTTGGTAACGACGAGCGACCGCGAGAGAAGACCACCGACGACGTCGACTCCGACGCCGACGACCGAAGACGACGACGACGACGACGACGACCGACAACGTAGAGCGACGACGACGACGACGAGCGACGACGATGACGACCACCACCACGACGACCGACAACAAACTGCGACGAGGACCGAGGACTTGTAGCGGGCACATGCCTGCGAAGGCGTCGTTGCCTCTACGTGGCGTATAAAAGCTACGCTCCTTACCTGGCTCTCTAATCCTAGTCGTCGTCGTTGTCGTCATCCTTCTCCTCCTATTGCTCTCTCTCTCTCTCTCTCTCTCTCTCTCTCTTACGAACGCCACAAGTGCTTGAGAGCACCGCAACTTGCCCGCGACCACCGCCTTTAAGCTGGCTTCTATGCGGATCCCTGAGGACCCTTCTGGGGATCCCTATGCGCATCCATATGCGATCCCTGTGCGGATGCCAATGCAGATGCCTATGCGGATGCCTATGCGGATGCCTATGCGAATTGCCATGCGGATCCCTATGTGGATCCGTATGCGATTGCCTCCAGGGATCCCTATGCGGATCCCCACGCGGATCCCTATAAGGATCCCTGTGCAGATCCCGAGACGGATTTCTATAAGGATCCCTTGGGATCCCACTGCGGATCCCTATGCGGATCCCGATGGATACTGGGGCGTGCGTAAAAAACTGTCATCCTTGGATATAAGGGTATAGTGGTGTCGTGCATAAGATCTAATGATATAGTGGTGCCGTTCGTGTTGTACGAAACGTGTGAAGGGTGTGCCACGAAACGGGGGAGGGGCCGCAATACGCTCAAACAGGGTCCTCCTGGACCAACAGAGTATCCATTAATTTCGCCCGCATGTGAGGCGACAAAATCGTTATCCTCGCGGGCACGTGAGGCCACATGTTCGGTCCCATTCTATTCGCCCGCACGTGAGGCCACAATGTCCGTTCCATTATCTTCGCCCGCGCGTGAGGCCACATGTGAGGTTCCCATTCTATTCGCCCGCACGTGAGGCTACATTTTCGCACTCATGTACCGAAGCCCACAAATCTTGCTCGCCCTCCCCCCCTCCCCCCCATGCAGCAAAGCTGGGTGGAGGCAGACCTGCCCCGCTCACGAGTCAGCTTTGCACTTCGGGGGGGAGAGGGGAAGGGAAGGGAGAGAGGGAGGGAGGGAGGGAGGGGGGATGAGGAGAAGGGGGAGGAGGAGGAGGCGGAGGAGGAGGAGGTGGTGGAGGAGGGGGAGGAGGAGGAGGAGGAGGAGGATGAGGAGGAGGAGGAAGGGGGGAAGAGAAGAAGGAGGAGAGGAGAGAGGAGGAGGAGGGAGGAGGAGGAGGAGGGAGGAGAAGGAAGAGGAAGAAGGAGGAGGAGGAGGAGGAGGAGGAGGGAGGAGGAGGAGGATGCGGAGGATGTCGAATTCGAGCGGAGGGCTCTGGGAACTAGTGCCAGAGGCATCCGATGAGAGGAGTGCGGACGAATGCGGAGGACTGTCAATTGGAGGCTGGAGGATGGGTTCGCGGGACGGCGGGCGGAAGGAGGGATGCGGAGGTGTAAGAACGACTGCGGAGGGTGGACGAATGGGTGCGGAGGATGTCACATTCGACTGGAGGCCTCTGGGGACTAGTGCCGCAGGCATCCGATGAGAGGAGTGCGGACGAGGGCGAAGCAAAGTGAGGCTGGAGGATGGGTTCGTGAGACGGCGGGCAAAAGGAGGGATGCGGAGGTGGACGAATAAGTGCGGAGAATGTCAAACTCGACTGGAGGCCTCTGGGGACTAGTGCCGAAGGCATCCGATGAGAGGATTGCGGACGAGTGCGGAGGACTTTCACTTGGCGGCTGGAGGAGCCTCTGGGGATAGTGCCCGAGGCATCCGATGAGAGGAGTGCGGACGATTGCGGAGGACTTTCAATTGGAGGCTGGAGAATGGGTTCGTGGGACGGCGGGCGGAAGAAGAGAAGGAGGGAGGCAGGGGGAGGGAGGAGAAGGAGCATGAGGATGAGGAGGAAGGAGCAGGGGGAGGGGGGGAGGGGGGAGGGAGAGGCTCGGCGACAAAGAGACGGCCACATGTTGTTTGCGAGATCGGCCCAGTGAGGCAGACATGAAATCATTTACCTTGCGGAGTCGTGCGTGCAGAGGCAGAGGCTGTGATCTGTGATACGCTTTTGCCAGCCCTGGTGAGGAAGACTTGAAACAATGATGCGTGCCAAGTTGTGCGTGCAAAGGCTGTGATGCGATGTTGTTGGCATGAGGAGTGAAAGATGTCGCGTGTGCGATTGCTGTGCGATGATCTGGATGACATGTGAACGCAGCTGTGAATCGCCTGGCGCGCTCCGCGTGCCATGGTCGTTTATTTCGCAGATACCGGTATCTCTATGCGATCCCCATGCGGATCCCTATGCGGAGTTCTGTGCGGATGCCTATGCGGATCCTTTTTCGGGTTCCCATACGAATCCCTGTGCGCTCGGCGGCAGTACAGGGGGCGCACTGGGGCCCGGAGCGTTACGTTATGGGGGGGGAGGGGGGGGCATAATGCGCGCTATGGCCCAAGGCATAAAGAAACAGGCTCCTTCCCCGTCATCGTGCCGGTCACCATCCTCAATCCTCTCCCTCCTCCTGTGCTGCAGTTTCTCCCTCCCCCACTCGTGAGAACTGTGGGAACTGCGTGTATGAGACAATGCAACGGCCGGTTGGCGCGGGACTGCGAGAACGCGATAATGTGGCAACGCGTTAAAATTCGAGAAGGGTGCATGAGAGAAGGCGGACGGTGGTTTCGAAGGAGGCTCGCAGCAGCCCGCACATGGCACGCCTCTGCGCACGCCAGCCCAAGACCAGTCTCAATCCTCCTCTCCGGTGAAATCTGGCCGTCGACCCGCTTGCGGCGATGGGCGGTGCACGCGGCGGCCAGCCCGACCTAAACTTGCAGCAGCGCCGCCGCCCGCGGAGCTGCTGCCCGACCACGAAGAGTGCCCGCAGCGCCGTCCCCGAGGGCCAAGGTCACGCCTTTGCCTCAAAACGGGAAAGAAATATCCTTACATTCGCGGCGATGACGGGCGTCATGGGGGGAAGAAAACGGGCGGGGAGGGTGGGCGCAACGCATTCTGTGACGCCACCGCCCTTCGCCGTGACAAGCTGCAGTGCTGGATGCATTGCGGCTGTGCCGGGGACGCACTGGCGGGGATGAGCGTCGCATTGTGGGGGAAAGGGGGAAAGGGGAGGAAGGAAGGGCATAACGGGCGCTATGTAAAGCGACGCCCTCATGGGAAGGGATCGCCGGCTCGGTCTCGGACGGCAACCTCGTTCACGCCAGCGGCAGTTGTGTGTGCACGCCAACCTGCCGCGGCCAGGATACAACGAAACATCTGACAAGATGAGGAATCGCAAATCGCTGACAAGGGCGCGGCACCCCCCGCGCCGCCCAGCTCGGCGGTGCCAGTCTGAGCCGACGCGCGGGGCGCCTGGGATGCCAGGGACGGGAGGGTGGGGCGAAAACGCGCGCACGCCGTCCTCGACGGTAGGACGCAAGCGCCGATGTCTGCAGGATGCAAGCGCAAATGCCTGCAACCCACGCGACCCCGGGGCGCGCCGCGATCCGCCCCGACGGGGTCACCGCGACGCGCCAACACGGAGCGCGCACCGCGATGCAGCATGACCCCCCGGGGCTGCGCACAACGAAACGCACGCCGTCGTTCCGAGCGCGCGCAGGCCCTTCACGCGGGGCCGCGCTCAGCGATGCACACACACATGCCGTCGCCCCGTGCGCGCGCGAACCCTCTTCGCGTGGCCGCGCGCTGCAATGCACACGCAGGGCGCCTCGCGAGCGCGAGCCCTTCACGTGCGGCTGCGCGCCGCAAGGCGCAGGAGAGCGGGAGGCGGCCCGCGCGTGCAGCTCTCCCGCCCGCGCGCGGGCCAGGCGCGGGCGCAATTTTTATGCCCGCGCGCGCACAGCGCAGCTCAACTGTGCGTGCGCGCTTTCGACAGCGCTGTGCGCCCACAACATGCGGGGGCTGAATAATGGCGCGCGTATCGTGCACCTTCGGGGGGCCCCGGGGGGGGTCCTAGAAAGAGGCACTGGCACCGCTGCTCCGTGGGCCTCTTCCGGGGCGCGTTCTGACGAGAATGTCGAGGCGAATCCAGCGTTAGGTCGGGAGTATCCCCCTACAGGCGGATTTGCAACGAAAAATGCAAAATACCCTCTAAGTAGTCAAAAATACCAAAGTACGATCAAAACATCGTCCCCAGATTATGTTACGACTTTTTTCTAGCATTCCTCCTGTAGAAGGACAGGCCCGACTTCAATCCAGCGGTCG